AAATAGGTTATTAACATCACAGACTTTAATTGGAGAAGCAACTTAGAAACAAAGATTAATGTTTTCTATACAACCACTTTTACACTAGCAACTTTACATGTGGCACCTATAATTTTCTCATTTTACATAAAATTCAAATGAAGAAAACCTGAGATGTGGAAATGTCAGCTTCCTGTCAATGAATCTTGCTTAGGCAATCATACTAAGAGTACTTAATTGTGTGTGTATATCTTGCAACCCAAAATTCAAGGACAGTTGCTAGCTTAAGTCCTCCTTTTACTTACTGGGAAAATTCTTTCAGAATTAAAAAAAATTACCCTGAATTGTGCAAAAATTTATCTATAAATTGAATGATAAAAGCTTTAAGGAAACTAGCAAGATTTAATGCATTTTGGAATGATTCATAAGTAGGGAGGAACTTCTGAAACATTCATAATGTTTATATCATTCAAAATAGAGGGCCACAAAAATCTCCAAGTATTATTTTTCTTTAAAAAAAAATAACTAGGTACTCAACATGCAAAGCTATAGACGTAAATAAATCAGGTGTTCATTACGTTGTAAGATTCACCACGGACTTTCCTTCAAAAGCAAGTTCTCTTGTGTGATTAAAGTAGTACTTGATTTACAGCATTAAATATAGGTGCAACTTCTCAGTCACATGCATATTGAATAGAATGACAACTGAATTTTTCAAATCATAAAACGTTCATTGTCTGGGTGGGTAAACAGCCTGCATTCAACCAATATGAAATATCAGGATAGCATAAAGCCAAAAGAATGACAGACGAAAAAAGAAAACCTGTTACTACTGAAAGAAAGCTTCTTTTAGTTTCTTTACCTTCTCTAGAGCATTTAACAGTCTTAAAAATTGTTTTAATACATACCCATACTTCACTCTCATTCTATCGTTTTCTGGGTTACAATAAAATCTTTCCAAGTGCTCCTGAGAATCATTGGATACACTCTGCCACTTTTGAGTAGTTGTCCTCTTGATCTGCCAATGATATGGCAAGACTGTGTGATGCTTCAAACAATCCCTGCCATAAACACAAGTGCCTTGGAGAAAGTCCATGCAAATTTCAATTCCGTTCTCTTGGTGAGTATGATACTGTAGCTGGTTTACCAGCTCAAACACGAGGTCAAGGGAAGCCTCTTCACTTTTATCCTGGAAGAGCTCAGTACTCAACTTATCGCTGGTGTCCAAAATGTACTGGATTGTAAAACTGTTGTCTTGGAAAACCCCTGGAACATAATCCATTACTTTGTCTATGCAATCAGGACTAGCTGGAACATCACTTGAAACTGAGTGCAAAAGGTCAGTCTGGAAGTGCCCTGCTGTAGAGTCTGCCACTGTTCCACTGATGGTTTCTGATGAAAAGCTGTGACCCTGGATTGGAACCACTTGTTCTGGAGAATCAGTGGAAGGATGGGCTTCTGGTATTTGGCTCCCGACATCTGTCCCATCAGGAATCAGAACAGACATACTGTTTTCTGTAGGTGAACACGATGGATTGATCTCCAGGGGTTTTTTCACCATAGGTTCATGTAAGGTGCTCTCATCTGCATTCTGGTCTCTAGATCTAAAAACCTCATCAAGCGAGCCAGACTCTAACAAAGTGTTTAATATTGGCCTCAAAGACCTCAGGGTTCCAGTTCCCAATCTCTTCTGATCCTGCTTTTTCTTAAAACAAGTCTTCAGTGGACTGATCTTCTCAGAGAGTCTCATTTGGCATGCAAAGCCATCAGGAGAGGAAGGCTGTACTACACAGTCTGGCTCAGGTTCAGTGGTTTCCATTTCCATGATGTAGGTTAGCTCCAATTGCTCCTCAAAGTCTAAAAATCCTACCAGGAAAGGAAGAAAGACAGTCATTTACAAACTGAATCCCATTCATTCACTAAAATGTTTTGTGATGTTACTAAGTTCCTGAAACCACTCTTCTTGCACTAGTCTTTACAGTTCAATTTAACTTTTACTGAGAAATGACAGCTCCAAAGCAGCTATAGAGCTATTCAAAAGCTTGTAACAGGTAAAAGCAGACAAGACAGAGTGGCGTTCAACATGCCTTTGGCATTTATTTGTAGATTTAATATACACCAGTTTGTTAATTCAGCTGGGATATGAATTTTCACTGTAGGGGTAGAGCAGGGTGGGAGATGAACGGTACAAATAATTGTGTCTAAATAACAGCAAGGAAACTACATTCTCACTAGGCTTTGTGGTTCTCCTTACAGCAGTTTACCTATTATTTGTCTCATGAGTTGAACAAAATTTAGTTTCTTAATGGGGAAAAGAAATTATCAAATGAAGGATAAACTTCAAAGTTAATGAATGACTTTGGAGTGTGAAGGTATGTATAGGAAACAGGGGCTCTCAACTGAAATGTTATATATGGGAGACAAGCCAGAGGCCTGTTAAGCATTTCTATATTCAGATAGTTCCAATATATTTCCCCAAGAATGGTAAGGGCTTACTTTTGCAATTGCTAAAAGCACTGCTGCTCCACGTTTAGCTTTAGCACTAACCACTGGACACTGTGTTACAAACCAAACACAATTCCATAATACAGAAAGGGCCTCCCAGTCCTTATCTTCAAAAAAGTTACACATAGGGCCGGGGATTTAGCTCAGTGGTTCCGTCGCTTAGCGCAAGGACCAGAGTTCGATCCCTGGTACCAATAAAAAAAAAAAAAAATTACATATATTCATTTTTTAAAGCAAAGCCATCTTTATTGAAAAAATCACACACTAGATTTCAAATTCTCAATGAACTACTGAAAGAAACAAAAAAGTGCGTTGTTGGAAGAATAAGACCCTTGGGGAAAAAAAATGAAATTTCAAAATATTTACTCATAGTGTGCCAAGTGAAAAAGAATGGTGATGAGCAATTAACCTTCTTTTGTCCATCAGAATGAAAAAAATCTCTGATGCAAGGGCCTATGACTGAATTAAGTAATACATCCTGGATGTCAGTACAGTGCCTGGCACAATGAACACTGTGGCTATTCCATAAATATTTTGCTGACTGAATTACTGAAGAGAAGGCACACATTAAACGCCTAACTCTTGGTTGGTTGTGGGTCAAAAACAAAACAAAAAAACCCAGGATCAGAAAAATGAGTGTTGAAGATCTAATTGTAGAGATTCACTAATCTCTAAAGAGTGCATAATAATCAAACTCAAAAAATAAGCATAGCATATAAGAAAGTGTTAGTCCAAGTACAAAAGAAAGAAGTAGAAAAAAGAGTTCAGTGTGAGCTGGCATTGTTAGGGAAAGCTTCACGAAGGAAAGATCTGACATGAGACATACATCAACTGGAAAGCAGCCAAGCCAGGCGTTATTATTCATCATTCGGTGCTCTTGCCTCAAGGCACAATTGGCACAGATTGTGGTATTCCCTTCTTCACCACACCAAACCGGCCTGTGCCTTCCCCCACGCACACACATTAACCACTGCTATCACACCCTGTATCAAGGCAAACAGACACTGAACCAATTTAACTTATACGTGTCTACACACGCGCGCGTACACGCGCGCAGGCACGCACGCACACACGCACGCGCACACACACACACGTACAGACCGTTTCCTATTACTGTCCTTCGTCAAACTCGGAAACAAAACTGGGGAGAAGCAGCAGAGAAATGGAGCGGGTAGCCTACTAGAACCTAGTTCCTCAATTATTTTGCATAGCAGAAAAATAAAGATTGGAAGGACACTTCCTCCGGTCGCTTGCAGCAAGCGACACAACCGCGCCACCCTTCACACCTCGTGACGCTTGGGTTGTCTGGCACTCCCCGCCGATCACACCTTCCAAGGAAACCGCCTGCTCTAAACTCTGCTCTCCAGCCGCCCAGCGACTCCCGGGCGTCCAGCCCGAGTCCGAGCGACGCCTCCTGCCGGCCGCGGCGGTTGGCGCAGCCGCAGCCACAGCCACAGACGCCGGCCGCGCCAACTCGGCTGCAGTGCCAGCCTAACCGCGGTACTTAGCGTTCCCGAGCATCCCCGCCCCCGCCCTCCTCTCTGCGGGCGCCCGGGAGACCCGAGCCCACCGTCCACCCTCCGTCGCGAGCGCGACCCGGGGACGGCGTCCCGGGGGCCGCCCAAGGCGCCGTCCACATTTGATTTCTTCTTAACTCCTCCACCTACCTCCCGAGCACCGTCCTGCGGGTCTCCGGACTCGCAGACCCGAGCCGCGCAGCGGCGGGGAGACGCGGTGGGCGCTCCGCGGGCGGCAGGCAGGAAGGCGAGAGCTCGCGCGTCCGCAAAGTTAACATGAAAGCAGCCGGCAAACTTCTGGGCTGTAGCCCAGACCCTGAACGCGGGGCGGCCAGGAGGCTCTCGCAGCCGCCCTCCCTGTCCCCGGCTCTGCCCGCACTGACGCGCCGCGCCTTCCCAAGGAAGAGCCGGGGGCAGACGCCCGCGACCCCGCCGCGGGTCAGGCAGCGTCTCGCTCCCACTTATACACCTGCCGGACTCCAAAGTGCCTAAGAAGTGCGAGCCAATTCTACCGCGATACTGACGGGATCCCTGTGAATTCCGTATCTAAGGGCTTGAGAATCAGTAGCCCCGATTCTCGAGAGCCTGCACTCTCCTGGCGAGGGGTCGGGGTCGCGAGGCCGGAGTCCGCCTTCTAGGCTGGGGTCCCTCAGCCCCCCGCTGACCACCCAGAGCCCTTTACCTCGGCGGGAGGCTGAGAACGGACGACAGAAGCCACGTCGCGGGCAGCGTCCGTGGCAGGGTGCACCACAGGGTTCAGCACAGACCGGCGTCTAGGGGCCACGGACTGGCGACGTGACGAGCCGTGCACTGGCCATTCCGCCGACCAGAGCCCAGAAACCTGCGGACGCGCTTCGGTCCAGCAAGCCCGCCTGTCACCTCGAGCTCTGCTTTAAGTGGCTTCCGGTCGCCTCCTCCCGGCGGCCCCGTCGCGGAGGCGGAGCCTGGGCAACTAGGAGGTGGGGTGGGGTGAGGGGGCCGGGCGCTCAGTGGGTGCCGGGAAAAAGGCCCGGCCCCCGCGCGCGCACGCGCGCTCGGGCGTTCGTTTGCTCGCTCGCGCTCAGGCAGGCGCGCGGAGTGTGCACGCGGCGGGGAGAGCTCCCGTGAGGGGGCGTGTCCTTTCGTGGGCCGGCTGAGTCTGTGAAGGTCCGCGTCTCCGCGCGGCGTGGTGCTCACGGCTGTGGGGAAGCAGGGCGCGCGCCCTGTGGGGCGGGCTCTTGCCTGCGGACAGATGGAGGGTCACCTTGTTCCGAGGAGAGTCAGGCACCCGATGTGAGGGAGGATGTGAAACGGAACGACCCGTTTAGGTGCGGTTGGCTTTGTTTATTTGCCTCCTCACCAGACGCCTCCAGCCCCTGACGCCGCCAGACCGGGAGAGGAAGCAAACGGCTGCCACCGCCGTTGCCGCCAGACGGGGTCGCCTGCCCCGCGCCTGACGGGCGGAAAGGCTGGACGCCCCCAACGGCCGGCGGCCTGAGCCCGGCGACCTGAGTGCAACCGTCAGTGCAGAAACCTGGCGTTGGGGTTTGGACGACAGAACCACGTAATTCGTGTATTTCAAAGTCCGCAAACATTGTAGTGACTTAATTAACAAATATTTATCTTAGCGCTTGTTCCCTGCCGGGCACAGACAGCCACTGGAGAGCCATGCCTATCTTCGTGGAGTTTGTAGAGCACCGTGTATTAACCTCTAAAATATACACTTGCGAAATTGCTGCGTGTTTTGCATTGCAAAGTGCCTTCCCTTGTAACTCCATATATTGAATAGATTTTCAGTTTTGAGGAAAGAAATAGTACGTGAATTTCATATAATCCCTACAAAGGAAAAAGAGAATAAAAAGGCCCTAGTAATTCCAGACATAGAAGCGTAGAAAAATAGAAGAGGTAATAATAGATGTTATGGTTATGAGCCATTATTACATTGCTCTAGGCCTGATTAAGGTTGGCATCTCCCCAACAGATTTATCATTTCACATTGCAGGACCATTAAACCAAGTTGGAAATGATAAGGGTGGAATTCAAACCAACATGTGAAAAGCAAAGAGCTACAGGCTTAAGACCTATATTGAGACAAGATTGTGGACCATATCTACTCATACAGAGAATTGTGTAGAAGCAAATAATTGGGTTTAAGTTACTGTTCTATGGTTTGATTTCTATTTGTCGCATCTCTTCTATATTTCTTTTGGTTTCTTTTGATGCCTTCTCTTGGACTATTTAATTTCCATTTTCTTCCATCAGTTAGGTTGCTATACATTCATTATACTTTTAGTAGTGTTTAAGTTACAGTTACATACAAATCATTCCACAATAAAATGACCTAAAGCCATAATTATTTACTCATGAATCCAGATTTTTCTGGCTCAGAAATTCAGTCGGCATAGTACAGGTGGCTCATCTCTACTGCAAAATCTTTGGGGCCTGGCTAGGATGGCTCAGATAGGGCCATATGTTATGGGACGTGAGGATGAAGTTGGAGCCACGTGACAAAAGTAAGATGACCATGGTGTGGAAAATATGTAGATAGAAGCTAGGACTGCTGGAGCAGAAAGAAGGCTATTGAGAGGTATGGTTCACTAGGGATCACTTAGATCAGGGGTGCATTACCTTTATCCAATTAGAGATTAATAATAATTAAAAGTTACTTCCAGAGGCAGGTGCAATGGCACATGCCTGTAGTCCCAGATGCTTGGAAGGTTGAGGCAGGAAGATTGCTTGAGTTCAGGTTTCCCAGGCCAGCCTAAGGCCTAAGCAACATGGCAAGACCATCGAGAGAGAGAGAGAGAGAGAGAGAGAGAGAGAGAGAGAGAGAAAGGAAGGTTACTTCTAGGGAGTAACCTACTTAGGATAAAAGCTTTTGGGATTCTAAAAATCTTTCTTCCTTAGGCCCTGAACTCAAACTTTTTTACCCCTCACCCAAAACCCCTAAGGCAATTGAAAGCTAGTTTATTTCCCAATCTCTACTACTTCTGTACTTTCTGAAAGTCAGTTGCCTCAAAAGGAAAAATGGCACCAAGTTATGCACTAAACATTGTTGGATTTAGGTTCCTTGGACTTACAGAATTTTAGTTGTTCCAGAAAAAGTAGCCTCTGTGATGTCTACCTCAGGTGTGACCCATGGAAGATAATGAAATAGGAAGATCTTACAAAGCCAGAAACTAACAGGTTAATTGACCAAGGGCTTAGAATTGTTGCTATGATTATCCAACAGAATTTGATATGTTTCATGGAGCAGTGACCACTGTGTTTTTCATTTTCTCCTTTACAGGCATTTTACCAATATCCTGTTCCTTGTCCGCTAGGCAATACTTAATAGGCAGTACTGAGTGAAGTAACTTTTCTTCAAATTTTGGTTGCTAGAACATGGGGATCGACACTCTTGATGAGGACTACTAACTCCTAATGTCAGGAGTCATGGGCCCTGGGCTCTGAGATCATTGTAGCAATTGGATGAGGCTTTGAGATTCCCTAGGGTGGAGAAGAGTATATTCCTTGAGTGAGAAGAGGGATGGGCTAGGGTGGACACTGCTTGTTTCCCTTTTCCTCCTTGTGAGAAAGATTCTGACACCCTCCCCCGATCTGGAGAATGAGTGACAGTGTGCCTAGCTGAAATTTTCATTTCCCTAGATTCCATGCAGTTATGAGTTACCATAAGATACAGTTCTAGACATATGCTCAAAATTTCTAGAAAACGTTTCCTAATATAGAGCCACCCCTACCATTTCTTCTCTTCCTCTTTCCTAGAATACTGACATGGGGATGGAGATAGAGTCTCATGACAAAAATAGAGGTGAACGTGTTGTGGAAAATATAAAGATGGAAGTCAGAAGCTGAGAAAGCTGAGACAGAAAGATAAGAAACTTGGTTCATTCATGACATCCTGAAGTTGCTGCAGAAGTCCTAGAATGACTACATCTGGACTTAAATGTCAAAAATAAATACCTGTTTAAACAGTTTTTTGGCTTTATAGCTGAACATAGGCTTGGCTAATACAGAAACTATCATGTTATCTCCTAACTAGTCTTCTTGCTTGTAGGCTTTACAAGTCAAATAGTAACATGACTTAGTATGTCAGAAATATAAGAGCTGTTACAAAGCAGTGCATCAACTCTTATAGCAAAATTTCCCACTAATTCCACAGAAAAACCACATTATAAGATTAAGAAACATTTACTAAAGAAAAAATAGGAAATAGAAGAAATAACAAAATATCCATAGTTTAATCCTTTAAAGTCTCATTTTAATATTTTTATATAATTACATCTTTCTTTGTATTAGTCACCTTTCCTTTTGCTGGACAAAATATCTGATAACTTGCAACTTGAAGAGAAGTTTATTTGGCTCATGGTTTCAGATGTTTCAGTCCATGACTGGGTGGCTCCAATGCAGAAACATGGTAGAAAAGTGAGGCAGAGCTGCTTAGTTCATGGCAGGTAGTAGGCAGAACAACACAGAGGAAGAGAGTCAGGGAGAGATGTACCCTTCAAAGGCACTCTTCCAATGACCTACCTCCTCCAATTGGGCCACACTTCATAATAGGACATTCAGCTATGAACATCAGTGGATTAATCCACTGATGAGTGGAGCACCTTCATGACCCATTCACCTTTCCATGAGTCTCATAATCCAGCAAATTGACAATTAGGCTTGCCTGGCACAATCTTATTTTATTTAGTTTTTTTCTATGATAACATTACTGTATATATTATTTTGCCTAAAATTATATCATAAATAGCTTTCCATGTTAACACAATCTTTTAAATAAGTAGCTATGTAATGGTCCAAGTAACAATAACGTATTGTTTATCTATTCTCTTGTCATTTAACATGTCAGTTCACTATTTTTTCTTTCTGGTACTGGGTATTGAACCCAGGGCCTTTGCACAAAGCTACATCCTCTGCCCTTTCAAAGTATTTTTATTTTGATACAGAATTTTGCTAAGTTCCCCAGGCTGGGCTCGAACTTGAGATCCTCCTGCCTCAGTCTCCCAGAGTCCTGGGATTAGGGTATGCACCACTATGCCTGGCTCAGTTCTGTTTTTTAAGAAAATAGAACTGAATATCTACTACATTCAAGTCACTGGATTAAATACTAAAGTGCACAGAAATAAGATAAATGAGATGTGGCTACTTCCTGAATGTTCTTGAAAAAAACAAAAGATACATGCATGCAAATAAATCTCACACACACATATACTTTTATATAAGCCATTTAATTCTCTTGGAATATGCTTTAGAATGAAAATATTTTAATTTTTCAAGTATTCTTTTCATTGCTAATTTCTTATCCTTGTCTGCTGCTTTTTTGGGGGGTTTTTTTTTTGGTACCAGGGATCAAACTCAGGACCTTGCACTTGCCAGTCAGGTGCCGTGCTGTTGAGCTACATCCCCAGGCCTTGTCTGCTGCATTTGCTTTAGCACAGCTAATCAGTGCATTAGAATACTTCCAGTGAGTTAATTTACAAAGGTAAAAGCCAAGAGTTCTTTCTCAAAATTTCAAGTGACCAAAGGCTTCTAGTTTTTATTTTCATTAATAGCAAGTGTTATCAACTGTAAATATTCTGTTGCTTTCTGTTTTCACAATTATTAGTATATAATAATTTCCCAGCATCATTCTGCTGGGAAATACAATTGCTTTTGGTTACCACACCAAAAAGGAATCAGTGACCATCATAACTAAGAGCACAATGAAAGACCTGAAATTTGAAAACAGAAGCTTGTCTTTTACTATTGCTGTACAGAAATCACATAGAGAATACAGTCAATTTGCATAAATGATAGACTAGCAACGCCTTATCCACGAGTGCTAAATTTGAGCTGTAATGTTTTCTATGACTGTGTATAAATGGGCACAAGCTTCAAAAAAAGTTCATATGTGCAGTTAGTTGATATATCCACAGTGACAAAAAACCAAATTGTTATTATCTAGGCAACTAAATTACAGTTGCTTTTAAATATGTAAAATCTATTATTGAAAAATTTCCCACCTGTCCTGCAAGCTCAAGGACCTGAGTTCGATCCCCGGTACCAAAAAAGAATTTTCTCTAGCAATTGTTAATGGCTAATTTCTAGAACTTACGGAAGAAAGATTTCCTATTTTCCTGAGAGGGAGTTCTGTACTCTTGGGGTCAGGGTCATACAGCAATACAAGATTTTGGCTGAAATACATTTACTTCAAGTGGGTTTCAAATTGGGTGTTGGTGGGAAAAGATTGGACAATGCCACCCAGGAATGTCAGAATAACTAAAGGTAGGGGATTTAATCAGCATGAACTAAGGATGCATTAATTAAATGCTCAGTGATAGACTGCTTTATAGACTGTCTTAAATATGTTGATAATTTTAAATTTCAAAATCATATTTCCCATAAGGTTATGGAATATCCATTTTGCAAACCGCTTCCAAGTACTAAAAATACTTCTCAGTTATAATCTCTTCTCTCCTGAACTCACCTTTATCTTTGTCTCTAGTAAGACTGCAAATTACATCTGCCTGAGAAAGGTGACAGTACAAAGCCTAGTAGAAGATGAACTATAAAATATGAATAGCAGAAATTATAAAATGCATAATCAAGTTCACAAACTAGTCTGGTTATCTGAGATTTGCATTTGTAAATTGCCTAATTATCTGCTGAACTATTTATTTTCATAGTATCTGGAAAGTCAAGTATGTGTTTCAGTTTCCTCGCTTTAGACCTATTGAGTAAGTCTTACTGCATATACTGAAAGTGCTGTCTGATGTAACTGGTTTTGAGTCCATATGAGATGATTCCCTTAGAGAAGTCCTCAAATGTTTTTCTGACCATTCACTTGATCAATACATTTATCATGTGTGTACGTTCCAGCCACTAGTTGTGCAATGGTGACTAAGACAGTCTCCACTCTTTTAGTTTATTTCAGTGAAGTTTGTAAATTGGCCATCCCAAATCACTGGGAAAGTATGCTGCAGATTCCCCAACCCCATTCTAGACCTCCTGAGTCAGAATCTCAGAGGAAAGGGGAGAAGAGTATGTACTTGAAATTCCCTTGTTGCTGCTGTTTTAGGATCTCTTGGTCTTTTAGAACAATTGAGGGTAGGAGGTGGTTTGGAGGTATGGCTTAACCTGAAAACAAATAAGTATACTGTGGTAACATAACAGAGATATACAAGTAAGGTGCTAAGAATATATAGATTTCTTGAAGTATCTAGAAGTAAGAAAGTTGTTTCTACTGGAAGCACATCTAAAATTTAATGGATACCAAAAAATAAATAAATATAAAATAAAAGAAACCATCTACTTTTAAAAAAATGAATTCCCAAGTAACATGATAGACTTTGATAATTGTTTACAGAAGTCATCTGCGTTAAAAGTACTTTTTTTTTGGTACCGAGGATCAAACTTGGGTCCTTGCGCTTGTGCAGCAGACTGCAAAACCACTGAGCTAAATCCCCGGCCCACAAGTACTTTTGTTCCTGTGAGTTTATCCTAAGGATATAATTAGGGTTATGAACATAGATATGGTTACAAAGCAAATAAATTGGGTCTGAGTAGTCATTTTCATCAGTTCCAAACCCAGTTGTCTGTGGGACATCTTTCCCTTCTCACTTCTTACACTATTGTGAGACATTCTGGGCCCTAAATAGCTTCCATTTTTTGCTGTTTACCCTCTGCAAAGCCAATATTCTCTTTGCAGTAAAGACTTCTTTCCAGCACAGTAATAAAATTTAGGAATTGAATTTGTTGGTAGCCCTGGCCAACCGAACCATGCAGGCTCATTTACACAGCTTAAATTTTCATGATGATGTCTAATCTCAGTATGGTGAATTTGGAAGTCTGGAGAGATCATTCTGATGCCCATCTGCCTTTCATCTCTGATTCCTCCATCAGGGAGCTAGTGCTTAGGGTGTCCAATCTTTTAGCCTGCCTGAGCAGCACTGAATGAAGAGGAATTGTCTTGGGCCACATATAAAATCTATAATATAGTTAATGTATATAAATAGCAAAAGTCCCTTCATTTTTTGTATTTTATTAAATTATTTTACAAAATAACAAGCTCAATTAAATAAGAAATCTTACATATCTGCTTAATAACAATAAACACCTGTCTTCATAGGCACACAGACATGTAAGTAAGTTGAAGCATTAACATTGCTAATCATTGCATTTTACTCAGCGAGTCACAAGAGTGAGTGTAATGTCTGATACACAAAGGGTTTTTTTTGGTACCTGGGATAGGAACTTGAGACCTCGAGCTTGCGATGCAGGCACCAGAATCACTGAGCTAAATCCCCAGCCTGATACACAAAGTTTTTTAATTCCACTTATTCTGTGCGGTGGGCACAGGAGGCAGAGTTAGCATTGCACCATGTTCCCCTAGACAGCCTGTTGCCTACAGTTTGCATTCAAGCACCATTCAATTGAATCATGAAAAATCACATAATAATATTAAAAGTTTATGATCTTGTGGTGTTGCATTACTAGCTGCTTAGGGCTATGTGTGACTCATGGGCTACAGGTTGACATGTCTGGCTTTGCCCAAAAGCTTCAACCTGGCCTGTACATGAGAATCACTTGAGCCCCTTCAAAAGTGTGTGTGGGGCTGGGGATTTAGCTCAGTGTTTTCGCCTCCTGCTGTGCAAGCACAAGGACCCAAGTTTGATCCCCGGTACCAGAAAAAAAAAAGAAAGCCTTCAGACAAAAGAGTGTGTGTGTATATACTTGTATATCTGTTTCCAGTCACTGTATAAGACCAATTAAATTAGAATTTCTCAGAGGAGGCCTGTGCACGGAATAGGGACTGTGTCTTATTTATCTTGTCCTCCTCAAGTGTCCTAGCAGGACACTTGACATACATCAGGTGGTCAACAATCCCATTTATTTATTCAACATATATTTATTGAAGATTTGTGTTCTGGGCATCTTTTCTTTTTCTTTCCTTTTTGTTTCTTTTTTTCTTTTCTTTATTCCTTTTTTTCCA